ACCAGCAGCACCAACAACACCAACAGCACCAACAACACCAGCAGCAACAGCAACACCAACAGCAACAGCAACAGCAACAACAACATCAACAGCAGACAAACAATTCAGGGCGCCAGACGCCGAATGGGATACTAGCCTGCAGCACGCCCACGTCCACAACGGCCCAACAGCAGATGTTTGCTGCCGTGATGGCCAATATGGCGGCCACGGCCAGTGCCACAGCGGCAGCAACGAGCGCCGGCAGCGGCAATAGCGGAGGTAATCTGAACAACTCAACGAGCGGGGGCATAAACACATCAGGGGGCAGTCTGAACAATGCGACAAGCGGCGGCGACGACTTCCGCTGCAATCCGTGCAACAAGAACCTGAGCTCGCTGACACGCCTCAAGCGACACATCCAGAACGTGCACATGCGCCCCACCAAGGAGCCAGTGTGCAACATCTGTAAGCGGGTGTACAGCTCCCTGAACAGCCTGCGCAACCACAAGAGCATCTACCATCGCAACCTGAAGCAACCGAAGGCAGAGCCGAATGCCGTTGCCGTTGCGCAGACGCCGGGCAACAGCTACTACCATCAGCAGCAACAGCAGCAGCATCAGCAGCTGAATCATCACTCCTCCTCATAGGGTTTCGTATACTTTGACTACCATCAGCAACAGCAACAGCAACAGCACCAGCATCAGCACCACCATCGTCAACTGCACCACCAGCACCACCACCTGTCCAGCGCAAACTTCACCTCAAGCTGAGGGCCGCCTTGATATTAGGAACGTGTTTTTTTTGTTAAGTTTGCCCCCAACGATTTGTTCCCCTAATTCCTAAGTCAGAAGAAGCCCCAAACAAAACCAACCCCACAATCCATAAGCGATTCAAGCGATTGTATTTGAATACACTGAACACTGAACATTGCATATTGAATAATCTACATCAGAATACATACTACATAGATAAATAAGACACATAAACACACACACACACACACATAACACACAACACACAACACACATACACACATACACACATCAATACACTCAAAAATACTTTAAAAAGGAGAATGAGAGTAGAGAAAACGGTGCTTTTTAATATAAAGATGAAAGAAAAAAGAGTAGAAGGGAGGATATCTGATAACTAAGGAAAGAAATAAAAAGATAGGAGAAGGAAGGAAGGATGGGGATAACTTAAGATAGATAGAAGAACAGAAGAAACTTGAAAAAAAAAAAAAAACAAAAACAAAGGGAGAGTAACAGAGAGTACAGACGAGAGCACACGGACTTAGGCTAGTTACGAATTAGGAGTTGCCTTTTTGGTAGTTTGCTAAGAACACACACACAAGGATACACAGTTTATACTGCAAATCGATAAGTACTATTAGTAGTTGTTCCCGCACCCCCACCACCATACCCCCTTTTTCAACACACTTTCTTCTCGTTAGCTATATATAATCTTAATAACCCTTAAAGAAGGAAGGAGGAATGTTTTAGAGTAAAGCCCAAGGCAGAGAAGTGTGTGCCCCGTAGTGAATTCTTCGAAATGGCTTTAATTAAATAGAATTTAAACCAATCAAATCTAAAAAATTAAAAAAAAAAAACACACACACACACAAGGAGAAACAACTTTGGAAGGGAAGGATAACATGAAGGATACGAGTATGATGTTACGATTTATTAACTCTCTTTTTAAACTTAAAATAAAGACCAAGGTACAGTGTTTTTTGTTTGTTTTTTACATAAAATATATATAATGTTGAAGAGTTATAGAGTATATATACACACAGATGCACACACATGCATGCATGTATGTATGCATGTACGAGTAGGAGGAAAAATTAAGCGCCGAGCGATAGGGAGAGCGACCGACCGAACGACCGACCAATTGCAAAGATCTTTACGATAATAAACTAATATAATTAACAGATTTTCTGAATAGTTTAGGGTTTAAGAAGAAGCACACATACGCATAAACACACAAACACACAAACACACACACGCATACACGCATACACGCACACACGAATCACGATGCATATGAATAGGTTTAAGGATACAAAAAATGTGTTTTACTATAGTGCTAAATATTTTTTTTCTCCAATTTTTTGTGTATTTTGTAATCCGTAAGTTATATGAATATTAATTACATATTTTGACCGGATACTTTTGAAGAGTACACCTGTGTTCGTTAATTATTAGAATTTGCTTAAGAGTTGAAAGTAAAAAAAAAAAAAAAAAAAAAAACAAGATACAAGATATAACCCATAACCATACCATAGCATACCCTATAATAAATGTGTGTACCACCACCCCATATCCGTAAGCGTAAGATCTACTATGAGAATGCAACAACAAAAAACGAAATTGCAATAAATAAAAATCTATGTATAAATACGAAGCGATTACTGCGGTAAACACTGTGCGATTGAACACCACACGCCCCACTTACGATTCTATAATTCATGAATTAATTACAAATAAAAGTCTACACATGAAGAGGGAAATATTTCATTTACCAACCAAACAACCACAACATGAGATCGATTGATTGGGGCAAGACCAATCAACCCATTTTATTCACTGTAGTCCTCCACTCCATCCTATTCACTCTATTCACTAATACAATCCATTCCATTCACTCTATTCACCGAACTACACTAGAGTCCATTCACTCCATTAACTCCACCTCCACTCAGTGTCTTGTGTGCATGTCAATCGAGTTGTCAATCCCCTACCACCCCCATTGTGAAACAGAAGAAGAAATCGAATTGATGATCTCCCACTAGCACTCCCTCTCTCTCTCTCTATGTCTCTCTCTCTCTCTGTCTCTGTCTCTCTCTATCTCTATCTGACTACCCCTCCCTCGAACTCTCTTACTCTGGTTATAACCTCTCATCATATAACATCCCCCCATACACATAGTACATACGATACATATCTACACTTATAGCTAGAAGATAGTGCAAGATTTTTGGCTCTGTTCCGCGTCTACCGTCTCCTACTACATTCTTGTGTTCCGTTGTATGTGTGTTCCGAACTGAACCCCCTACCCCGCCACACATGCAGCTCCCCCACATGCACCTACATTATATACATACCTATACATACAGACAGTCGTAAGATCAAACCTATGAAAGGGCTGCGCAAAAAAATACTGCCTCCATTTACTTTAAGCACCCCCTGAAGCAAGGAAAAAAAAGCAACAACAATTACAATAACTAATACTAATACTTATCCCACAAAACCCCCTCCTCGAAGACCCACCCCCATCACCATTAGGCCAGCAGCAGCCGGTTAACAAATGCTAAGTATCTGAAAACTAAGAGAAGCCCCGGACCCAGGCCCAGACCCCACAGCCCCTAAAAACACCCCCAACCCCCCCATCGCACATACAAAAACCAAAAACCAACCAACCAATTCGATGAAGCCTTTTACACTAAGTGTGACCCCCGACCCTACCCCTAACCCCTATCCCCTATCCCTTATCCCCTATCCTAAGCACGTTTTGGTTCGTTTTTAACCAATCCCCAAAGCCGAACCTGAACCCCAACCCCAACCTCAACCCAAACCCAAACCCAACAGGCAACACGGTGCTGCGATTGAGTTTGAAAAAAGAAACAAAGAAAAAAAGAGACACTAGTGACAAACCGCAAGAAAAAAATTGACAACTTGCAACCACAAAAGAAAGAAAGAACAAAAAAGAAAAAACGAAAAATAACCCAAAAAAAGAACAAAATCAAAAATAATACTAAAAACATTTTTATACATACAACAAATCAATCAGGCCAAAAACAAAAAACAAATGTTTCAAAATTTTGCTAATCAAAAAACAAAAAAATTAACAAACAATTGAGAAAATTGAAATCGAATTCAAGAAATCGAAATCGAACAAAAATTGGTTTTAAAAAGCATCCACGAAATTATCGATATCCACACACCCAATTGGTTACCAACCACCACCAAAATTATCCAAAAAAAGACAAACTGTTTCCAAAAAACGGTATTCGTATGCCAAAAAATGGCAGTGTGTGGCAGATGGCAGTGGCAGCGGCAGCTGGTCTGCAGCTGCAACTGTCATCAGCAGTCCAGAAGGAGAGAGTCATCGAAAGGCAATCTCGAAGTCCAAAAATCCGAGTCGAATCGAATCGAATCGAAGCGAAGCGAAGCTAGCTTGCTGCAAGTTGAGCTCTTGAGAACCTTTCCAATTCGTATTTGAACAATCAACAAATCACAAAAAAAAACTAGCCACAGCCAACAACCACAACAGTCAACAAAAAAAAAAACCGTTTTATTACCATTTTATTTCCATGCGTTTTGTCCCAAAATTTTGGGAAACCAGAAAAAAAGAAAAACAAAAAAGAAAAAACCAAAAATTCGAAATTCGAAAATGCGAAATTGCAAACCGAATCTGAAATCTGAATCGAAATCGAAATCAGCACAGCGTTTTTTGAACAAATTGAAATTTCTTCGGTTAAATCGAAAACCATTCGAAAAATGAGCTCCACACTCCGCAAAAAGAGCGAAACATAAGAGAGTACAATTAAAAGAAAGGAAAAACAAAAACCAATGTTAGCAAAAAAAAAAAGAAATAAAAATAAAAATTAGCAAAAATTTTACATTGTTTTGAGCCTGGATTTGTTAGTGTTATAAAAGTAAACAAACAAACAAACAAACAGAAACACAGACAAGAAACACACACAGAAACAGATACAAAGACAACAAACACAGAGAGATCGAATACAACAAACAAATGAACAGAACAACATACACAACAAACATTCAAACACTTACAGATCTACACAAAGACAGACACAGACACAGACACAGACACCCTAAAACACCCACAAGACAAAGACAAAACAAAACTAAAACATATACGAAACAACTACAAGAGAAAAACCAAACAAACAAACAAACCAAAAACAAAAAAATAAATAACAACAAAGTCAATTATACAGAAAAGTCACTATTGTCTCTTTTTTTCTTCTCTTCCCTCTATATGACCGTGTTTAGGTGGCAGCACCGGTGGTGGCAGCCTACTCGGCGGCGTCATAGTGCCCGGCGGTAGTGGCAATCCTTCTAGTAATAGTAGTAGCAACAACCAACAACAACAACAACAACAACAACAACAACAACAACAAGTAGACCAACAACAATCATCACAACAACAACAACACCACCTCCTCCTCCAACAACAACAACAACATCATTCCACACAACATAATCCACAACAACAGCATCTGCAACAGCAGCAGCAACAACAACTGAAACAAGAACAACAACAGCGCAACAGCAGCGGTGGCAGCAACATCAAACTCGCCCACGAAAGGGAAAGCCTTTCCCGTTCCTCGCATGGCGGTGCCACAGATGGGCATGTGGGCACACCCTCGCCCTCACCCCAGGCCTACCACAAGCGGGAGAGAGAGCGCGAGAGGGAGCGTGAGAGGGAACGTGAACGCGAACGGGAGCGATCGCTCGACCGAGAGCGGGACATTGAGCCGTCGGGCACAGGATCAGGACCATCTTCGCCGCCACTACCACCGCCGACCTCGCATCACTCACATTTCGGACAGCATCCGCTGTCCCTGCTGCCCAGCCACCATCAGTTGCATGCCACACATCACGAATTGACCGCCGCCGCCCATCATGCCCATGCCCATGCGCACGCTGCCCATGCCCATGCGCTGGCACGGGCGGGATCCCCGCTAGAGCATCACCATTTGCTGCACCACCGACGCGCCTCGCTGTCGCCTTCCGCTGCCGCCGGTAGCAGCGGTGGCGGTCGTGGCTCGGCCGCCGGCGGACCTGGGGGAAGTCTGCTCTCCTCCGTAAGGGCTAGCGATGTGGCACAGGCTAATCGGCTGCTGTTGCCCCTGCCGCTGAATGCGTGCCACCGCTGCGATGTCTGCGGCAAGCTGCTGAGCACCAAGCTCACCCTGAAGCGGCACAAGGAGCAACAGCATCTGCAGCCGCTGAACAATGCCGTCTGCAACCTGTGCCACAAGGTGTTCCGCACCCTTAACTCGCTGAACAACCACAAGAGCATCTACCACCGACGCCAGAAGAACCATCACTCGTACTTCCATCATGGAGCCGGCGTTGGCGGTGTCGGTGTGGGCCAGGCCGGCAGTCCGGGCAGCCGTCTCCATCAGTCCCTTAGCTCCCTGAGCGCTGCAGCAGCAGCGGCCAATAACAGTGGAGCCGCTGGCGGCGGCGGGGGAGCCGGCGGCAATGCAGTGGCAGCCGCCGCAGCTGCGGCCGCCGCTGCTGCTGAGCTTCTGCTGTCGCCCATTGTGGGTGCAGCGGCTGTGGCCGGGGGCACGGCCAGCTCAACGCTTCAGCTGGCGGCGGCGCACCAGCAGCAGCAGCAGCAGTCGTCGCCGGGCATTGTCAAGCCGTGCATAGACTTTTTATAAGATCAGCATCAATTATTGCAGCAGCTGTTCCACGTTGCGCTCAACAACTCGGCAGCGGCTGCAGCGGCGGCGGCGGCGGCAGCTGCTGCTGCGGGACCACCGGGCACAGGGGCATCCCCAGTCGGGGGCGGGGAACCGTACGGATCGGGAGCTAGCAGCACGCCCACCGTAGACCTCACTCAGTTGGACCATTCGGGCGGAGGCGGAGTAGGAGTCGGAGGCAGTGCGGGCGGTTTTTCCGCGGCGGCCATGCAACTCCATCAGCAGCAGCAACAACAGCTCAGCCACCATCTGCCACCACATCTGTCGGCCCACCAGCAGCATCACCATCAGCATCCGCATCAGCATCAGTTGCCCCACCAGCATCCGCATCAGCTGCCGCACCCGCACCCGCACACGCATCCCCCACATCAGCACCAGCATCAGCATCAGCACCAGCACCAGAATCCCTATGAACGTATGAATTTATTAGATCAATAAGCGAGGCGCAGAAAAGTATGCTACGGAAAAACATAGAGACAGGAGAGGATAGGAGACGACACCACGAGAAGAATCGGGCACCCACATACACTGGCAGACACACCCACACACCCACACACCGACACACGCATTTCGAGAGAGGAGGCGAAAGATGGGAAGATGTTAGAATAGAACCGACCGACCGACACTAGGATTAGAAGGATCAGAAGGAGCAGTACGCAAAGATATCCTCCTTCTCCAGGACCATTCATTGATGATGCAGCAAAGCGAGAATTGTAGAACTACTACTACTACGTACATATGTATTTTGGATCTCAAATAGCGGAAAATTCAAAGACTTTTTCGGCACGAACAAAAAAAAAACGAAAACAAAGAACAAGAAAAAAGAGAGCGAGAGTGAAACGAGAGGAAAGAAAAACAAAAACAAAAAAAAAACAAAAAACATTTTTAGGCAAATGGAAAAACTGTGATTATTTACGACTTGATTATAAAGCAAGCAAAAACAAAAGTCTTTTACGATATATACGCTATATACAATACATACGATACATCTAAAGCGGAGGAAAGAAATATACAAAAAGTAGGAATCGCGCTGGAATCCTGGGGCAGGATAAAAACGTATAGATACATATACAATATAAGCATTTTTTTTGTGCATATCCCAAATTGGGATGCGAATAGAAAGGATGGTCGTTAGAACTAGGCTAGGAGAAAGCATCAAGGAGGAAAACAGAGCAAAGGAGAAGGAAGCAAAGGAGTAACAAGAAGAAAGCGGACCTTTGGAGCACACACGGATAGAAGACTGTTAACCCACACACGCACACACACACACACACACACACACACACACACAAATAAAAGCACTCTCACACACACTGAACCCCCTGAGTATTACCCAACGAGGATCGTCCGACCGTCATCAGCCTTCCATTCATAATCCAGAGTTACAGATGCGGATGCCACCCAAGGATCACCCATCAATGTGCAATGCGCTAAACATTCGACCCCAGACCCCTGACCCTTGACCATCCCAACACCCCCCAACAGCCCCAGAACAAAAATTCTTCTCTGTAGATCCCACACAAGAACACACACTTTTTATTTGTTCGTTATTTTTGTATGTATTATAGTAAGATATCAGAGATCTACATATATGTAATACAAGCAACATACATACATGCATATGTGTAAATGTAGCAGCCACTAAAAATATTCATCAAATGAGTAGCAAAATGGTTACTGAACCAGAAATCAGAAACCAGAAACAATATGAACTCTAGATCTTAAGTAAAACTATATATGTATATGTGTGTCATACGGTTTTTTTTTTTTTTATATGTCTACGAATACATTACCAATAGGAAGAATAGGATGTATATGCATAAAGCTATAGCTACATATACATAAATACGCATATAAATACGATATATGGATATGGATACATATGAATATGCATATTATACTAAGACTATGGACTCAGCAGCATAACGGATACACAGCATAAGGAAAAACATTAATTTCAAAAGTGAAAATTTCATGAGGGGAGATCTTTACGTAGGCAAAGGACAGGAGGAGAGTGGGATCAGTAAAAGGAGCAGTAGTAGGACCAGGACCAGGACCAAGACCAGGACCAGGACCCGGGTTAGGATAGACAACAAACAGCTGAAGTTTATTTAGAGATCGATTTGGGGCACTGTATATTTTTCGTAGGGTTTTTTTCATTGGAGCTGTTATCTCATCTCATGAGGACTGATTAGGTTTTAGACTCCGTTAAACCCGATAAAAACGATAAACAATGGTCGACTATCGATAAATGATTCATTCAATAATCCACTGAACGATAAACGACTATCGTTGACTGTCGATTAATGACTCGATTTACTTGATAAACTGATGACTTGAACAATAAAATTGTTTGGCCCCTCAGTTAGTCGTTTTATAAATATATTTTCCAATTGGCAGAATAATCAAAATTTAGACTGTTTACTTTTGTCGCGTTTTTGCATCCTTTTTACATTGATTTAAATGAGACTGATGAGCCTTTGAAGTAGAACTTTAGAGAAAGGGCAAAAACGAACTACGGACTACACAACCGAATGAATGGGGGACGGAGACCGAAGCGGATCGAATGGCGGGAAGGTCTTCATTTTTAAGAGTGTGCAATTTTCTTAGCGTGGTCAATAGCGTTAGGGAATGGATAGGGGGGTTTTAGGTAATAGAACAAAGAGCTGTAGCCTTTTAGTTAAAAGTAAAAGCCACAGGCCGAAGTTGATGTATCTTTACATACAAAGAGGAGGATTAAGGATCGCGGATCGAGAATCGAGGAACGAGGAGCGTTGTGTGCGAGTATAGTCGAATTTTATTTTTTATATAAACTTATTTTTGATTATCACTTAGTACCCCTTGCACCCTAAAACTCTACTCGCAGGGGGCAAGCAAATATATTTCCAATAATTTTTATTTTTGGCAAACAAAAAAAGTCTGAAAAACGTTTACTAAGTTACGTGTTTTGATACCAAATTGATTGATTTTTTAAGCTTATGCACATACGAGTATACTTAATGTACTACTACCATATACACAAAACTATATCTATATCTGTATCTAATTTTAAGAGAACCCAAAACCAAACCCAAACCCAAACCCAGACCTTCTATTTGTTATTCCCCCCAACCCCACCCCCACCGGAGAGTCGCGAAGAGGATCTCCATATGCAATGCCATATCTACCAATATATTTGTTATTTACACGAGTAAACAGCTTCCTTGTACTACTACTACTACTACTACTACTACTATCCGGGGACTGGCCTCAGCCTCATCCTCGGACCTCTGCAATGTCACATCGTTTTTTATTACGTTCAATAAATGAAAATGTAAATGTAAATTGTAAAACACAGCAGTATGAATACTATGAATACTGTGAATACCAGTTCGAAGAGACAGCTTTGCACTTTAAATGTTGTTTGTGTGTATGTACATATGATGTAAAATGTGTATCTAACTAAAACAGTCATCAGATCAGTCTCAGATACTCAGATACCGATACAGTAAACTCTCAAAAACACACACACACACCACACCGCACACATACACACATACACACACAGAAAACCGAACAGGATAAACTAAAACTAAGCTGAGAAGATAAACTAACCGAAAACCATCTCACTAAAATAGCATATTGATTAATACCCCAGATAGCAAACAGTAAGAGATCGGTCGATCGATATGATCGATAGCAAACAGTAACTCGTCGATAAACGATAAACGATAAACAAACCAATACAGAATACCAAATACCGAACACACGCAGAATACCGATAACCCGAATAAGCCGAATAGTTGATCCGTTTCAATGTATGTATTTACTATATGAGTATTTGTGTTTCCGCCATCCCTCTCCACTTATCCACCCATACACCCTCCTCCCCCACACCAATCACTCCACCGCCCCTTGGCAGTTATATAAGCATACTCAATACCGTATTATCCAATGAACCACTAGCTCCAAGCCACATAAAAGCTTACAATTACAAAATACAATTACAATTACAATACGCGAATATATAAGAAGTAAACTCAAAACTACAATAACTACAGAGACAAGATACAGTATGGTACATAGTAAACAGTGCAGTAACAGTAACAGTAACAGTAACAGTAACAGTAACCAATTCATGGATAGAATTACATACAAACGTCAAATCAAATAGCAAATCGGAGGATGAAGAAAAAGAGAGCCGAACAAGCCCCAACAACTATCAATCGGAATAGACATAGAAATAGAACCGTTTGGAATGAAACTGAGAAAGTGGTAGTACCAATGTTTCATTCCGTTTTGTTCCGTTTGGCCAGAAAGAATCAAAGAATCAAACCAATTCTCCAATATTCTCGCACACACACACAGACCCCATACTTATAGAGATAGTAATAATTCCATTAACAATACCAAATACCCATTACAATATCCGTACAATACTTCCGTAACACAGCAGCAGATCGCAAAGCAACAAAGAAAGAGATCGATCTCAGAGCCAGATACAAGCAGATATTTGAGCGTTCTTTGACAAACCACATTCGAATTATTCTTCTGCAAATGCAAAGCTCCAATATACAATGAAACTATTAAGTTTTCCCCCTCTTAGATTAGTAAGAAAAATGTACATTTTGTGTCTCCTGTACGTACACCTCTGTATATAGGCAAAAGGGCGCCTAGGCACAAAGTCTGCGCCAATAAGCAACACACACTTACATCCATATATATGCAAAGCAAAAAAGCAAAGAAACAAAATGAAACGTTTAAATAATTACTAATTTATATTCATGTAAATGTCAACTAGGCACAACTCTAAGCAAAAGGAAAAGCAAAACCAAAAATCAAACTGGAAACAGAAACAGATAGAAAACCCCATTTATTTCGTAAAAATCATAAATAGTAAAGAAAGTTTATTAAGATCAAAACGATGCGAGATGGAAGCCCAACCAACTAACACTGATACACACATACACACACACGCACACACACACACACAT